TCCATCTTCTGTTAATTCAAACATCTGCCCCTGCCTCAACATGTAACTAGCATATTCGGCACTTTCTCTTCCTAATGTCCATATTTTTCGTCTTCTAGTAGTTGATTGTTACTCCTTTTCATGGATTCTTATACCACACTGTCTAGCACATAGGTGATCATGGCTCTCGGCAGTTTCATATCACGTAAGGCCCTTAGGATTTTTCCCCTTTGCTCAGGCTCCTGACTCCCGTCTTGCCATCCATTAACAAGAGGTCGTCAGATAAGTGGCTCACTTCCTTCCCATATTGCACTTGCTCTCAATGTGCGATGTGAGCCTCAAGTTTTCCAATTCCTCCTTCCTCAGTATCTGTCGAAGCCATAAACTGAAAGATGAAAGAAAAAGCAGATCGATGCCTTTGACATAAATATATTAAGGACCACTATTAAATCACATAATGAAAATGTTTATATTTGCCGTTACCTATAAAGAAAATATTTAGCATTTATTGTCTGAGTACCCAGGTCTACTGTCGGTTGATATTTACGAAATCTTTCTATCAAAATAAGTTTTTTCGGAAAGAATATTCTAAAACGCACTAACAGGGTTTTTTTCCCCAATATTAATATGGGCTTACTTAACCTTTTGTCGGAAGTAGAGTGTAATGTCAATATATTGATTATTTCATTAATTTCTGTGTCGGTTTATATATGATATCAATTTCATTTACTGTTTTGGAAATTCTTCAAGTTTTTGTAGTTTCTGTTATTTTGTTACAGTTCTTTTTCAGTTATTCTGTAGAACCTGTTCACAAGGCTTGAGAAGGATGATCCTCGCTAAAACCTACATGTTTCCTTCACTAAAATCCTTTTTTTAACCCTTGATCTGAGAAAGTGGATAGGTCGGATACGTCTGACCAACTTTGGTGAAATGCGTGGCATCTATCTGGAAGTCTCGATGTGACGATGTTGTTTACGAATATGACACTTACTCTCAGTGTATATTCTATATGCATCTTCATATCTCATACTAAATTGGTTATAACTGATTCACACACCGAGGTATTTGACTTTTTTAAAATCTATCTATTCTACACTTGAATTTTTATGCTATATTCTGCGTACGTTTTATCAATGTTTCCAGATGATCATGGCTTACAGCTACCTTATGTAGAAAAAACAGTTCTCGTACGACCACCAAAGTTAAGCAATGCAAAGCCTGGTCAATATCTAGATGAGTGACCACTTGGAAATAGCAGTTGGTACAAGATTAGAAGTCCGAATGATGTAACGGTTCGGAAATGGAAATTGAAGATTTGATACCACTGAGATCACCTATGCGCTAATAGCATTTGGATATTTATAAATCCACCTCTTCTTACTCCAGCAATGGGTAAATTAGTAGGAATTGTATCAGTAAAATCATTGTTACCTCCATAAAATTCTTCCAATCAAAAATTTTTTCTGGCTATATATGACCTGAAAATGTTAAATAAGCCGTAAAAAAAACAAATCTATCCATCAATTCAGATCATAGATTTTAATTTGGAAATGTTTATGTCCTATTTCTATCGATTGCACCAATTGAAAACTAATATGCGGTATTCAATCACTTAAGAGCCATGTTTCTTGGGTCATCATGTCTATTTCGATCCATGAATGACTAGGTAGAAGTTTTTTTTTTTTTTCAGGGCGTTCGCGTTCATGACTCTCCCCAATTTTCCTATTCTTTGTAGCTCTAAAGAAATTTTGTATCTTTGACTTCTCTTCCCAAACCTGCTACGCCATCCACTCCTGATGTCCCTGCTGTTCATCTCGGGGACCTCAACAAAATCCAGGGACGGATATGAAATTTGTTATGTTTTGATCTAGAATCTGGTCTATAGTCACTTTCTCATAGACACGATGTGGCTTCCCACTGTCTTTTCTACAAATATTTTCATGGCAATTGCTCTGACGAGCTATTTTCACTAGTACCCCAACTGCATGAATTTGAGCGTGCTACTAGGTTGGCGTCTCGGTCCCACCCTTTCACTGTCGAAACAATTAAATATAACCGCCCATTCTACACCAACAGCTTCTTCTCTCGCACTTCCCAATATTGGAACACCCTTCCTCATGCTTCTTTCCTTGACAACTGTAATCTCCAAATATTCTTTATATTTGCTCTCACACGCTGTAACATCTGTCGTGCTGATGGCACTCTTGCTTTGCAGAGCGTGAGATCTTAAAAAAGAGATCTTGTGCGTATCAACAGTTTTAATCAATCTATCTGTGACGTTTCTGATGTTAAGAATTATTGTTATTTTTGTTAACATTATCTCCAAGACTTCGTCGTTGCTCATGTTTTCAGTCCATGGCATTCTCATCATCCTTCTGTAGAACCATATTTCTTTTACATCTAGCCAATTCTTCATCTGTGTGAAGCATTCACTGCCATATAAGAGGACTGATACTACATAACAGTTCACTGCTCTTATATTTGGTTCTGATGATGAACACTGAATTAAAAGAAAATAATTGAACAATTTTAAGAGTAGCCAAATGTAAAATAATAATGATAAATAAACATTGTAATTTTTCATCCTTAGAACGCCATGGACTCGAGAATCACAGAGTAAAGATATTCTCTCTCCGGAAAGCTGGTGGAGGGAACCAAATCTGTCATTACTCACAAAACCGGAACGTCATTTTCCAAGAGACGGTCTTTACGCACGGACTAGGAAAGCCTTTACTCTTCACAGCGGCAAAACAGTTCTCTTTACACGCTGTTTTTCACTGATTGGCCGTTTAGTATAGCAGGGTCGACCAAGCGTGAGACATAATAATTGGGGAAAAAGAAATCAAGTTAGATCAACAAGAATAGTTGGTTTCAAATTTTCTTTTAATCCGAATCACCCCATGTAAGGGAGTAAAGACACTAAGATATAAAGGATTAAAAGAATTAGGATCAAAAGAGAAATATAAATAATGAGCGGGAAGAGGAAAGAGTAATTAGAAGGACAGTAGATAGTGATTGACATTGCATTTAATGATTTGAAGATTTAAGTTGGTAGAAAACGGAAACAGCATAGAATGTATACTTATATCTAACCAAATTAAGTGTAAATTGATGAGATCTCAACGTTAGTCTTGTACTGCGCTTAAATTAAAAAAAATGAAAAAGTCCATGTAACACAGTGAAAAGCTTATCCTAAAAAAAAATACCAAGAAAGTATTGATTGAAAACACACAGTCAGTCAACCTTACGGCGATGGGAAAGTGACTGAAGATCAGGACAAACATATTGCTGATTCATCTTTGGATGAGGATCATATATGGCAGCAATACTCTAAACATGGTCTCTCAAACACGATGGCACATATAAATATTGAGGAGATAAGGTTTGGAGATTTTAACACTAAACGGTCGGGTTTTGAGATAAAAAAATCGAAGAAAAAACAAATAATGTACTAAACAATCTGATGAAATGGGTGATATCGAGCAGTGACAGGCAGAAAATTGTGGAGTGTCGTATTTGTATAGGACCTGAAAAGATATCATATTGGATTGAGCAATCATGTTTCTTTCGATTCAGAACTGATTCTGCAGAAGATGTCCCTCAGTAAACTGCGGTAAACTAGTTACAAACCAAGGCTATAGGATTAGTCTTGTATTCCGTTCATCCCATAGCTTGTGAGGGAGAAGACATGGATTCATATCTTTATCAAGGGTATTTGCGTTTACGTAAATCTAATAACACCTAATGGAATTTGACTACAGCTCTTTGATTTCTCGCTCTGATCTGATATCAATTAAACTCTAACGTACATGAAAACATATAGAACATAGATAGAGAACAAAAATATTATAATATGTGCACGAAGCATATTCGGAGATGAACGAGTTTGTACATTTAAGCTGAACGAGATTGAAAATTTGAGCTGAGCGTCATTGAAAATTTGAGCTGAGCGAGATTGAA